CAAGAATATGCCCATGCCTTTAAGTAATCCCAGCACTCAGGAGGCAGAGGTAGGCAGATCTCTGTGAGTTCAAGGCCAGCCTGGTCTACATAGTGAATTCCAGGTGAGCTGGGGTTACAGGGAGACACTGTCTCAAAAAGACCAAAAAAATTAATATATACATAAAATATATACATTTATTATTATTTGAAAGAGTGGGTTTGAGCAGAGTCAGGTTGGCCAGGAACTGTTATGCCTCTTTTCCTTATAAGGAAATAGAAACCCAGAGAAGTTGAACAGCTTTCCCTTCATTGAGTTGGAAGTGGTAGAGGTAAGCTGAGCCCCAGGTCCCATGGCAGCTCAACTGCTGCACCCACATGGGTGATGACTTAAATTATACTCAACCCATTTTTGAAGTGATTAACTTTCTAAATTCAATCCAGTTGAATTGGATTTTTCGACTAAAGTAACTTCTCTTCTAAAATTCACCTTTATTTCAGGCTGACTATTCTTGGATTTCTAAAGTTCTGACTAACCCTTGGCTTAGAAAGGAAGGAGGTGTGAACAGCCCTGTAAGGACATCGCAGGTCTGATCCTGGAAAGTGGCGTCCTCCTGCCGCAGTGATCCATAAGCAACTTAAAAGCATAATTCCTTGCCACCTCCAATTCCTCCTGAGATAAAATCTGTTTGGGAAGATGAAAAGAGGATTTATAAAAATTGCACTTTGAAAAAAAAGAAAAGAAAAAATAATAAAAAAATTACACTTTGAAAACAAAATGTTGAGTTAAAAGGGTGCTATGAAGTTGTTATTTTATGGCTTCCACTAGGGGGCACCATTTCATCACACTTATCTCAGGTTGGAAGTGTTCCATTTGTTTTTTCATTCTCTTAAAACTCGACAATACAGTAGCAGTAGAGAGTCAATACAGAGTAATTAAAATGCAGACAAAATACTCATAAGCAAAAAAAGATTTAAGTCTATTCACAGATTAAAACTATTCATTCAGACTGTGGATTACAACCACTGGTGTATTACAACTCTTCCAGACATTTTCCTAATGGATCTGTATTCATAAAAATAATTTTAGTTGTTTATGAGGCATAATATATTATTGAGGGGTATATAATTTTATTTTGAAAGGGTCTCACTAAGTAGTCTAGTTTGGCCTGCAACTCATGGTCCTCCTGCCTCAGTCTCCTGAGTGCTGGGATTACAGGTAAGTGCCATTATTCCTGGCTTGAGCATGCAAGTATTAAGTGAGCAACAATGAATTTTTTTTTTTTTTTTTTTTGGTGTTCTTGAGACAGGGTCTTCCTGTAGCCCCAGCTGTCCTGGAACTCACTATGTAGACCAGGCTGGCCTTGAACTCAACAGAGATCCGCCTTCCTCTGCACATGCCTTTAATCCCAGCAACAATGAATTTTTACAAAATTAATAAATCCATTAGATCAGGAAATAAAAACTTACATATTCAGAGGGCCTCTCTTGACTTTTTACAATCAGTAGCTTCCTCAAGGATAGCCATTATTTTGGCTTCGAACCTGAGAGAATAGTTTCACCTGTTTTGGAACTGTGTAAATGCAGTCCTGCAGTATGTACCTTTGATTCCGGTTTTGTTCATCAGCATCATATTAGTAAGAATCATCCATTTTGACATGGTTGTTATCATTTGTTTCTTCTTTGCTGTATTTTATTGTATTATATATTTGGTATTGGGAAACCTTCTGTAAAGATCCAGGTAATATTTTAAGCTTTGTATAAGTCTTGCAGTGCTTGTCATAACTTCCCAACTCTGCCATTGTAGCACAAAAGCAGCCATAGGCAATGTGGAAATGAATTAGCATGACTGTGTTCCAGTAAAACTTTATAAAAGGGAATAGGTGCCAAGCTAGATTTGGCAGTGGTTGTCAACTACTGCTTAGTTTTTTTTTTTGTTTTTTTTTTTTTATAAAGAATCAGGGTCTGGGAGATGGGTCAGTGAGTCTTAAAGCACTTGTTGCATAAGCTGTGAAGGCTGGATTTTGGATCCCCACATAAATGGTGGATATGGTGGTGTACCTGTAATCTCAGCACTAAAGAAGTAGAGACAGGGGATCCCCAGAGCAAACTGGCTAGGGACACCAGCAGAATGGGGAGCTCTGGGCCCAAATGAGAGACCCTGCCTCAATGTATGAGGTGGAGAGTGATTGAGGAAAACACTTGATGCCAACCTTTAGCTTGTACACACATACATGTGTTCATATAATATGCAAACATGCATACATATACACAGGCATAGCACTAGCACATATACATGCAAAATAAATAAAAATTAAAAGATAAAGGTTTTAAAAATATCAAATGTTGTATCATATTGTAAGATTAGACTTCTTGAGATGCATAAACAACTTTTTAGTGCATCATTTCCCTGTGAAAGGACTTCTAGAAAGTGAAATAACAGCTGGCACTTTTTTTTTTTTTGTAGTCTCTGGCAAATATAGATGATGTTGTGAACAAAATTAGACTGAAAATAAGGTAAGTAACAACATGTAATTGTTAATTAATGAAAAGTATTTTGTTAATTTAGTTAATCATGCCTAAATCACATTTTTTGATGAAAACACTGAATTCTCAAATTAAAAAAAAATATTTTGGGGCTGGAGAGTTAGCACAGCATTGAAGAGCACTGGCTGCTCTTGCAGAGAACCTGGATTTGATTCCTGAACCCGCATGGTACCTAACAACTGTCTAAAACTCCAATTCCAGGGTATCCCTCACCCTCTTCTGGCCTCCATGGCCATTGCATGACATGAGGGCATTGACGTACATGCAGGCATAACACTCACACACACAAAACAAACAAAAAACTAATGCATCGTTATTACTGAATAAATGTACTTATTTTTTTTTAAAAAAAAAAAAAGAAGAGCATGGTACTGGAGAGATGGCTCAGTGGTTAAGAGCACTGACTGCTCTTGCGGAGGACCCGGGTTCGGTTCCCAGCACCCACATGGTGGCTA